ATGTTCACAGAACTATATATTCACGGTGGTAACAGGTGCAGGAGAAAGAAAGAATTATTTGTTAACTGTAATGATAAGTTTACTGTACTAATGATAAGTTCAGTGTTCACGGTACAGAAGTGACAGTTAAAACAGTGAACATAACAGTACTGTGAAAATATCAGGAATTACAGTACTAGTAGGTGGTATGTTTCATAACCAAGGCTTGAATGCATGTGCACCTTAGCGCACCCAAATTTAGAGCTGTGCACCTAATTTTTTTGTTCTGTGGGTTTCAGTAACTAAGTAAGTAAAGATGTTAAATGCACTAGTATACAAGTTGCAGTATCATGTTCTTAACATCTAAGTTTCAGAAAAAATAAGAAACCCATTGTTATAGCACTTCTTTAGAAATGAAACAAAATAAAATGCAGTTTTTGCTGACATTCTACTTAATTTATCTTATATGGTGCACACAAAAATTTGTTAGGTTGGGTGCACCAGTGAACTATTCAGAAGTATTCTCAAACATGAATAATAAATTTTCGAGCCCTGTGACTAGTGTGAGCGGTTTGTATTTCAGATTGCTGCAGTCCAATTTGATATTGGAAAAAAATGAAACCAGCTCGAAATTGTTGTAATATTACAGGAAACAGACAAATATGTTCAGCATGTACACTGTGCATGTGCATGTGAATTGGTAAGAGCCTGGTTGTAAGCTTTCCTATTTGTGCCTGTTGTCAAATTATATTTACACAACACACACACAAGAAGAATGTGCAAACTATTGACTTCATTTTACAAGGATAGACAAAATATTGTGACCTAACACTTAAACAACTTGTGTTCATGATTGATAACTCTATTTATATCTTGATAAGGAGGGTCAGCACTGCATACATTGAAGACTAGGGGAGTAATAATATTGTGCCTGAATATTTGCAGACCGACCTGAAAAGTTTTGGCTCAAATCGATCTTCCGAACTAGAACGATCATATAGACCTAGAATAGGAACATTCTGTACACTCTGTACCGGTACCAGATTTTTTAAAATTATTTGTAACACTAACAGGGCTTGTTTACACGTAAACAAATGCCTTTCCTCGATCCCTGGTGCATTTACTTTCACGAAATCCGTAATCTAATCACCGCCTACTAAGATAACGTCACGTGGGGGGATATGCAGATTAATAATTACGTAAAAAAATGGCTAGTACTCACCTGTTTTGCTGTAATCTCCGGCGTTGTAGAAAAAAAGTAGACGAGGGTTTCTCTCCACCAAAACACGTGCAAACAGATCGATTTCAGGTTTCAGGAGGTTTCATCCACGGGAAAACTTGGAAAAGGTAACCAAACACGGGCTGAACTTGGCCTTCACTTCCCGCTTCGTGTAATCTCGCCATTGTACGCTACGTCGCTGCCGTCTGTCCAAGCACCGCGATATTTTAGGCGGACTTCCATGAAACACTTCCCACACGAAGCCTGCAAACATGGCTGCCTTCTTCTACAAACTCAGCCCGTCATGTGACCGGATTAGCGAGTTATGGTTGGTCAAAGTTGGTGCGCACATAACAATGGGGGACTAGGCTGCAGTACCGGCCGCGGCCGTAGTTGGCGCATGGCGCGGAATTCAAAATTCAAATTTTCGCGCAGGCGCAAACCAAGATGCTGAAGCGAAACCGCCGTGTAGGTCTCACCTGGTCAAACAGAAGCCTGAGCTGCCTCTCAGACTCTCCCACCCACTTGCTGAGGCAGTCTGCTCCCTTCCTCATGAAGAATGCAACCCGCTTGTCCCCCTGGCTGCACTCATTGGCCAGGGCTCTGAGGGTTAAACATCACAAGGGCATATTTCTTTGAAAATGTTTTTAGATGTATATCACTTGAGAGATCAAATACAACAGTGCATTTTTTCAAAACATAGAAAGCATCAATTATTTCACCATCAAATATATTATTATTATACTTCCAATCCTTCCTTTATTTTTCTTCTTAAGCACCAGAGTAAACGAAAAAAACAAGATGATAAGCAACTTATAAGTATAGGATCTTTCTAAAGGTTTAACAATATGTTAACTCTTACCTTGCCACCAGGGTTTTGCCTGTTCCTGGAGGCCCATAGAACAGGCAGCCTCGAGGTGGGGTGATGTTGAAACGTTGGAAGACTTCGGGATAGAGGAGGGGGAAGATGACCATTTCCTTCAGGGACTGGATGTGTTTACCTAGGCCACCTACACTGTCAAACGTCACCTGTGGAAAACAGACAGGCACAGGTTTTATTGAAAATGGCAACAACAACGAGATGCAATTCACAACAAAATCATTCAGTCACTTCATACCTTTGCCAAGCTAAATAATAATTCAGTTCTTTACTGTGACAGTAAAGAAGGGGAAATATTTCCCTAGCCTAGGCACACTTTGCAAGAATCATTTCTGAACAGGCACATTTTTGGAAGAAGTTTCCTATGCACTCACAGATCGATCAATGTTCATGGGATCCACGTCTGCCAGGCTGGATCCAATCTTGGAGCGATCTCGGATTACTCCACCGGCCACGTCATCAGGAAGCATGTTCATAGGAAGACATCTGAGGGACACAAAGTCACAAGTTCAGAAGGCAAGGGGGGACAACATCTGTACCGAACTAACATGGTTCTTGTCTGAACTATGAGACATGTATGTATCCAAACAAAATTTTAGAGGACATTACACTTGTTACCACAGAACTGTCATCACGGCATTTAATCTTAGGCATCTGCAGAAAGTAAAGCAGCCTATCGATGCACCACACCTCATCCTGGCCCTGGCCATGCTCTTGGCCTTCCTGCGCTCAAACTTCTCTTCATCATCTGACCCGGAGGAACTGGTGGAACTGCTGCGATGGAATGTACGACGTCTCCTGCAAGAGGCATATCAGGAAAAGATAGCCTTCTTTAGTGATATCTAACACAGGCACTGCTAAAGACATTTACTCCTTAAGATAACATTTTAATACCTTCAACAGTTAGATAATGTTTTAATACCTTCAACTTTGCTTTACTTTTGGCTATGACAACAATACTTCAATACCTGGTATACAAATGTAGTATTCATCTATGAACAATAAAATGAGCAGTTAAAAAATGATGCCAACACCAAAAGATTGTACAAAGCCTTGCCTTCTCTGATATGGACTGTGAGGGCTACGGAGGTGTTTGTCACGGCGTCTCTTCACCGGGGAGTCAAACATGTCCACAGTCTGCCGCTTCCGACGAACTGGTTCCTCTACAAGCAGTGATAGAAAGCAAAGGCTGATGTAGATTTATGTAGCATACAATGTATATACATAGTCCTAAGAAAACAATCCACAATCCAACAAATAAAATGTACCAAATCTGAACACAAATGGTGCACATGTAATGCAGTTTATATGCTTAGGCCTAACAAAATAAATGTTGTGTTTCCTATTACAGTCCAGAAAAAATTAGGGTCGGTAGGTAGGGATTCACTTTTTTTTTTTTTTAGTCAAAGCCGGGACAATGAACGTATGATCTGTTTGTACTACACAGACAGGGATCTCCCTAGAAATTCAGAGCAGGGTGGAGGAGGGTGCGGCGGGGGGGAGGTCTGGAGGGGGGGGGAAGCTATTGCATTTTGTCTTTTCCAAACACAAATGGAGGTCATTTCCTGCAACTTCAGTTCTACATTTTCTGTACAACTGCAGATGTATAAGGCAGTAGAAAGGTTCAAGATCTGTACTTAATTATCCTCATGTTCAAAAAAAATTCTACCCTTAATTTTGAAAAATTGGGCATAGGTTCCCCGGATGACCCCTATCCGGCGGCCAACGGTGCTTCCACAAGTTCAACAAGTGAAAAATACATGATACAAAATGTACATGTATTTACTACCTGGAACTTGGAGCAATTTATTCCAAAGATGTTAACTGACATTAATATATTAAAAACTAAACCAAATCCTATTTCTCAAACAAATCACATATTGACACAGCTGAACAAATAAAAATGTGATCATGTCTATAAACTCCACTCAAAAACAATTTTTGAGAGACACTCGGGTCACGGTACTAAGCGTGATAATCTCTAATATCTCATCTGATTCTCCCAATATGTAAAGGGTCTTTACAATGACAGCATCCAACCGCACATACATAGAAACAACAATATTACACATACATAGAAACATTAATATTACACAAGAAACCAATTAATTTGGAAAATTTCTCAGTAATGTTTGAAAATTAACCTTACTAAAATATAACTGCATTTTTATTTCAGTTGTAGCCGGAAAAATATTTTTCATGCGTTTAAAGTATCGTTTTAGCACTGTAATATGTACTTATTACATGTATCTATACATTTGGATGCTATCTTGACCTTTGACCATTGTTATTGTGAAAACAGGTCGGCCATGTTGTCTTTCTCGCCGTGAATTTTCGAGCCGTTTTTTCGAGCAAATTTCAACCGTTTTAAACATTTTACGGCCTCAAAAACTCATATAACGAGGAAAACAAGTTGTAGTTGTTATTTTCATGCGTAACATTTCTTCTGGGGATGGATTATGTTTCCGTCGAGCTGCCGAAAACTTAGCGCCATGCCGCAACCATGCGATCGGGCGCGGCCGGCCGGCGGGAGTTTTACTTTGTATCGGTGAGCTTTCGCGATGTAAACAAAGACAGTCGGAGTTGTTTACATGAAAATTTTGTTGTGAAACGCCAGCGGGGTGTCAGATTTTCTACCAATGACAACGTTTTCTTTGTGGCGTCATGGCGAGATCGACAGGATTGTGCCGACAATGGAATTGCGGCCCGATCCGTGCAATTAGCGCTCGATCCACGCCGCCCGACCGAAGAAAATTGGAATGACGAGCACATTTATCGGGGATAAAATCCCCAATTTTGAAAACCGACCGCTAGCCGCTCGAAATTTTTGGTCGGCCCAAAAAGGCTAGGGTCGGGGGGTTTTTCATAGGGTCGGTCGGGTAACCGGAAACACAACATTTTTTTTCCTAGGCCTTACAGTGGCAGCTACCACAGGTGATGCTACGCTATACTGATACTAGTGATAGACAGGTAAATTACAGTGCTGAAGGTTAAGAAAGTGCTATACTGCTATAGGCTAGCATTGAACAGCATTACTTACCCATTGGCACCTCAAAGCGTTGTGTGATTGGCTTGTGTTTCCTGAGACTGTAGGATGTGCGAGCTTCTTCCTCCTCCTCCTCTTCTTCCTCCTCATCTTCGTCTGATGAGGTGTCTTCTGACAACAACAAATAACAACTCATCGATAATACATCAGTAAGACAACCTTTACTATGCTATGAATTTTCATACAAAGTATGTGTTCATTGTTTCTTCAAATATTCATGTACTGGTATTTCTACATTGTTGTTGGCCCTTTGGTTGTTGCACTAGGCCTGGGTCAATTAGGTCCAGGTCCAGGTTTTAAGGATCCTGTTCAGTGGTGTATGTCAGTTCAACCAAAGTATTTTGTAAGAAGTATGCCGTGTAGAGGATACTGAAGGGATGGATAGGTCCAAGTCAGTACACACCTTCGGTTTCTTCTGCTTCCTCCTCTGACTCTGAGTCCTCTTCTGAATCATCGTCAGCTTTCACAGGCATCCCGTACATGTCTCTCTCCACATGCTTGCGCTCTCGTTTCACACGGGTGTACATATCCAGTTTGTCATCCTATCACATACCACAACTCTTAGTATCGCATTGGTTGGTAAATTTCTGACTACAGAGCAGCAGTACAGGTTTACTTTTATTTACTAAGACAGGGATTTCTTAGCAATATTGAGAGCACAGCAACAATAAAATATCAGATATTTTCTCACTATTTGATGGAAAATTTACGTATAAGTATCTTGATATTTATGACCCACTCCAATAGAAGTACAAGACTCACAACATTGCATGAATACAGGTCGAAACAACATCACATTTCATTGAGATCATGCAAAGAATAAGATATCATACTTCCAAGTCTTACCAGAAATAACTACATTGTACATTGCACTTACACCATTTAACCCCTTTGCATTGTGTTTCTACGACCTTACAGTCCACAATGTCCAATGGTTCCTCTGCCCTTACCAACTGTACCTCTGGGAAGCTGGACTTGAGCTGCTCCAGTTCTGACCTCTGGTGCCTCCGACTGGACGACTGCTTTCCTGAAGGGAGATCCAACCCACCTAAGTCATAGAATAACACTTCAAGAGTTAAACTTAAGAACAGACTTTTAAGGTTAGTAGCATTATAAGCAGCATACTGAAGCAGAAGGCTAACAATTTCATCATTACAGACTCAAAATTGTTAGAAATAAAAGGCACATAATGTGTACCAGCAGTTTTTCAAAACTGAAAACAAACGTCACTCAGGATTAGGCATGATATATATATATATATCTATATCATCATAGTTTAACCAATGATTTATAAGAAAGGACACTGTTTACTACTGGTCCTTAGTATATTGCATCTCTTTATGGCCTTACAAGCAAAGGATAGTGCGCAGTTACTAGTAGCAAAGAGTAGCGTGCACACAACACACTAACCTGTCAGCAGATGTGATGAGATCAGTGAGTCGTTCAGGGTGGAGTAGATTCCCCGTCGCTGCCGCGTGGAACGGCGGATGCCGCTGCCAACATCCCCGTTCACCATGCCCGGGGTATGATCGTCATAACCAGGGGACTGGTGAGTCCTGCGAGTGCTGTGGCATCTTGGTTCTGGGGATAGGATGTTGTATTTGAAACATCGGTGAAGGTCAGACATCCAGGTGATAAGATACGCAAAAACAGTTACTCAAGCAACTGAATATGATTTTGAAATTGCTTGAGTAATTTTTTTTGGCGAGTTGTATTTGAAGTTCATTTTTTAAGCAGTTGGATCTAGCTTCAGAAAAAAGGAGGATACATAAGCCAAACCTTTTTGGCTCTCCCTCAAGACAAAAGTTTGCTGATATTCACGTAATGACAGCAATGATTGCAAGAAACACCTTATCAAAATAGTACGGCCTAAGTAAGGGCATGTGTGCTTACCTTCATCCATGTCTTCCAACATGTCGTTCTCCACCTGCTGGTGGCGTTCGTTTCTGCCCCGTGAGCGACGCGGGCGCGGTGGTGAGCTGGAGCTCTCTTGGCTCGCCGAGGAGTCCAGGTCCTGGGGAGGCCTTCTTCTGGACCGTGTGACCGGCATGTCATCCTCCTCCTCACTCTCACTCACGATGACAACACGCTACATACAGACAACCGGAAACACACATTTCAATCACTGATTCACTGAAATAAAATGACAGGGCGACAGAAATTTCAAAGCCAATGCATTGTCGCTGCCTGGGGATTTCAAAACACATAACGTAAAAGTTAACACACAAAGCTCATCTCCCTTCAAAACTACCACTACTCAAGGTCAGGGGTCAAGGGTCACACGACCAAAACAATCGATTTGGAACGCCTGTCAGTGTCTGCAAATCACCAGTTTGTACGAATTACATGGTCCAACACGTTTCTAAACAAATGAAGTGCACACTTACTAAACAAATTCTCGTAGCAACTTGAAGGAATAACGCTATCACCATAACAAAGCAGAATTCGAAATTTGCGCGGTCTTCTGCTGTTGTGCGCCGAAGGCCGCCATAGCAGGTTGGACAACAGACACGTCTCCTTCCGCGAAAATGTTTTTTTCTGACACCCTGTGCTCTTTGCGCCCTCTGTACATTATACTGTCACGTCTCTAGGATTATATTGTGTTTCCTGACGAACAAAGGGCAAAGCTAGCTCACGCAAATCACCGCAGACATCTGGCCAAGGGTTGCCAAACAAGGGCGGGTTTTTGTTCTGTCTGGTAACAGACGTCACACTTACCTCTTTTCGCTGACGATGTACGGCTCTCCGGGATCTCCGAGAGGTCAGTAGTATTGCCTCGGGAGAGTCCTCGTTGCTAGCTCCTGCACTGTGTCTTGTCTGTACCATTTCTCTTCTGTTCAGGACAGTTTCTACATGAAATACCGAGACCTAGGGGCAAAATCATCATTCTCCGTCCGCCATATTAGGCCTCTTCACTACATGCCGTTCCACAGTATTACACCGCAACGAGAACTATTTCCTCTTGAGGTGGATCTTTTTCGTCCGCATGATCTGCTGAAATTTGACAGTCAACAGGGAAATAAAGATGAACGTCATTCTTAATGAAGATATCGAATTGTTTGCATTCTTACTTGTAGTTGGCAACTATCATTCGCTTTGTACCTAGAGGCGGATTAATATTTTCTGACAGGACGTAAAAAGCCTCCGTCCGTAAAGTTGGCGGGAAAAATGTTTGAACCGACAATGGTTTTAGACAAGTTTTATCCAGACAGACACTTGCAGACTTCCGACAATGAGACTCATGGGTGTCCAAGTACGCTTGATTAAACGAGGTGACATGGAATTCAGCAATTGTCCTTGTCATTTTCTTTGCTTCACAAGTCTGAACTATTGTATGGGAACGAGAAGAGTAGAGCAGGTGCACATACGCATACACACAATAGCAATTTAGCATCTTTATTTCTAACACGAAATGATATTAAGAAAATACAACTGCTCATCTTTATAGCTACATCATTCCACCTACTGCATATCCTTTATTCTGTTGTCAAGGTGAAACACGTATTTGCCACGCACGTATCATATTACCCCGCGAACAAGATCATTTGGGTTATACCATATCCAAACTGGGAACCAATATTTATTATTTTTTATCGGTATGGATTAAAAGCCTATGAAAAATTGCCATTTTCATCATATGATAGATGACTTAAAAAGTATTTGAGGAAAAATTTTGAAAATTTCAATGGCAAATAGCATTGATAAAAGTCATGTAGTATTGGTACCCCTCCCGCAACTGAGTGGATCTTGCGGGGTAGCCTCAGCGTTGTTTTTCCAAGTGGCTGCTGGGAAATTCCAAGAAACAGGAAGTGCTGTATCTAACGTTGCGCATGAGATAACGGTCTGAGACATTACTACTACAATATTCTTCAAGTATGGACAACAGATAGCGGACCGCACCTTCAGGTACAAATGTTAGTTGTGTGGTTGTTTAACACTGTAGCAGCCCTTGCTTTACGATTTAGAGAGCCCTTAGACTGTAAACAACATATCAGACCAAGGAGGTTCAATAAGGTAACGGTAGGGTGCCATTTAGCCGTGGCGACTCTAGCCGTGGCGACTCTTGATTCGGGCTTACATTGCATTACCCTCAGACATTGCATTACCCTCAGACAGAGGGTAATGCAATGTAAGCCCGAATCAAGAGTCGCCACGGCTAGGTGCCATTGTGACAGCATATGGTTCTTTTATTATTATGATTGAGCAATATGCACATACACGGGAATCATCTTTAGTTACATATATGTATTTTCCAAATTGTATTATGCAGAGTACTTGCCTAATATTGCCATGGGTAATGTACCACAGCAGGTACCAAGCAAAGTGTGGTTCCCACGAGAAGGTGTGGCCTTGAATTGCTAGCTATGTTTTCCAAACTTGGGTTTACGGAAAAACCTGGGCTGTCTACCTTACCAGGCTACCTTACCAGTCTACCTTGCCTGTCTAGGACGTCAGGCTACTGAACTCCCCCCATCCACAGCCTCACGAACAGCAAGACTTCCAAGCAGCTGCGCCCCCTGGCGGAATGCATCAGAATTGCACCCACTACTTTGGCACGTGCGTGTGCACAAACCTTTATAGGCCTGTGCAGCATGCAAGGAGTTAAACATAGCCTGACTAATCGCGCTCCTGGCGGCCGTCGACCCGAAGTGGGTGGGGGTCACACAGGCTATGTTAACACAGCAAGAAAACACAAATTTAGCACAAATAAATATACGCTATGTGCTAGTGACAATCATCGTCACTCGGCGTGGTTACCCAAGTGATGTCAATGTGTCAGGAATGGGGTGTTAGTGAAGAGATGTCACACGTTGTGCGATAGCGATTCAGCCGCTTCAGCGATTCTTCATTTGAACGTTATTTTCATAATTGTTGAAGGGGTAAAAATTTTTTAAACAAT